ATAAGTTTCGTGGCTCGAATGGTAATATAACTAAAAGACCAAGTGCCCAATTAGGAGATATTTTTGAAGAAAGTCCTTCGGAAATAGAAAACAGTGATGACGAAAACACAGAAAAAGTTTTATGCGAAGAAGTTATACCAAAAAAATATGTCCATGCTCAACGATGTTCCATCGATGTTGATATGGCACGATTGAATGACTACAGTTCTACATTTTTCGTCGATCAATTTTCTTTAAACGAAACAGACGAATCCTTTATCACACAGCCTTCAAAATTGTTTGACACTCTGCGAAAATCAGGGAAGTCGCGATCACTCAGCTTGAATCATTCGAATATGCAACTCTTCAGAAATAATGTGATTCTTGATTCGAGACGTGCGTCGGAGCCTGCTAAAGTTAAAAACGATTCGCCGAAAATAATGAATCCAAATTTAAAACCAAGCAAAAATATGAAGCTTGGTAATGGAGATATTGAGTCTAATGGTAAACTGGAAAGTATCGATGGAAAAACCGACACAAAAATAAGTAGGTCTTCGGAAACTGATTCTGGCTCTGATACTGATAGCACTGTAACTCAGTCCCCTGAACGTGAACTTAATGATGGTGAAGTTGTGCTTCGTCAATGCATTGCTAAGTTACGACCAACTCCCACAAAACAGCGAAAGGTTATTATGGCTGAAATCGACTCGGCAAAATCTATTGTTACACCTAAATGTCTAAATATGACGGATGGCAGACATGAAAAGGGCCAGGAAACGCCACTGTCTGCTTCCAAATCGAAACAGGTTTTTAAAAATAATGAACAAAATCCTTTGAAAGATCCAAGAACCGAAGCTTGGCTTGCTTTCGTTCGGACGTTAAGGCATCATGATCAAGACACACTAAGTGAGACCAGTTTGAGCGATTTCAGTGATTTTGATATTGAGCAAGGACTTTCGCTCTCTTCTACGTCAAACGGAGAAGATTGATAACATAAACCCACGTAAGATCGGAACATTTATCCTTATATATGAGTTATTTATCAAGGGCCGACTCTTTGTATGTTTGTTCTTCCCGAAAAGAAGGAAGCCCCTCCATTTTGCATTGGCATTTATATTGTGTTATTTCTTCGGAACACTAATCTTTGCAATCCACCAGATTTAAATCCTCGGTTCTGAAAAAGCCACTACCTAGAAATAACTGAATCAAAAGAATTTTTTATATTTATATTGTTCTACATGTTGTTGTACTTATGTTCACTGTGTACGTTTTAAATTGTATAAACGAGCAAAGCTATCTAAAAATGAACTAAGTTTGACTATTGTTTACTGACGTTATACCGCGTAGGGGAGTTATGCTTGCCGCCAGGGCACTTTAACCATAGCCTGTATATTCAATATTCTTACATACCATAAAACAACACTGTATGGTAATTGTCTAAGAAAGTTTGCTGAACTCCTCGTGGACGAGAGGTTGTTAACTAACTGATGCTCGGTTACGTCTTTCTCCACCATCATTCCATTAATATAAAAAGAATGACTGCTTGGCTTTTCACATTCCCGGCATTACATGACCGTAACCGTAGAGTTTCCAGAAGAATTTGAGCTATTTTTGGTGCGCGGAACAGTTTTTATATATTGCTTACCGAACACCAAATGAAAATTTCAGATTTTTTCGAAAATAAGTGATCCGGTTATCTAGCCTAATAATTATCTTGATAAATTTTTGCCTAGAAAGGAAATAGCGAACAGACCAATAGCTAATGACTTTGACTCGAATTGGAATAAGACTTAACAAAATTTAAATTCATGGCTATAGAGCAGGGGTCACCAAACTTTTTTGACCGCGGGCCAGGTATGACTCAAATTGTGTTGAAACGGGCCGGATGAATATTTTTGTCAATGCAATACAATAAATTCACAAATGTTGGGAATATCGCAGAATATAGATCGAGGACATCCTAGGAAAAAAAATTAACAAGATTTCTATATCTAGACAACTCTCCTGAGTTTAGCTGTTATCAAAACGTTGCTGTCATGAATTAGAAATGTTACAAAATCCGCGACAAAAAATGTACGCATCACGTCTGCTAAGTACCGTTACGCCGTGTTGAAATACCGCTCGTAAAAACGACTGCCTGCTGTAGCTTGGAATTCTATGACATTTTGACATAATTTAGATAAAATAAACAACTATTATCTGGTATTTGAATTTTTTCATTAGCGCATACATTTCCCAACATTCGACGCTTTTAAAAATTACGCCCCAGTTATACGTAGTGCAAATTATTGATATTGTCTATGGACACCAATAAAATTTATATGGACGTGTGTATTTCTTGTCTAACTTGATACTTACCAATTTTTATGAAGTTCGTACAATCAGAACATTGTTAATTATTACCCACAATGAACCACTGTCAAACTATCATGCACAACTCCAGCGTTTATTTGCGACGATCTTTCGGCGGTGTCAATGACCGTTGCCAGAATAAAATCCTGAAATTATCTCAATATACCATGGATGTGACGCACATCGAAAGATTAGTGATTGATATGTGTTATTTTTCCATATTTAGTACAGTTCTTATCAAAAAAGTAATACAATCATTATGGAAAAAATTGGCTGTCGGGCGGTACTAAAATTCCGATATCTCCGTTATTTCCTGACCGTTTATTCCAAACTTGGTATTGTTTTCTATTTTTACCCAGATCTTTCCACTGGAGCAGTTTTTATTTAAATCGGATGAACTTCAATTTTTTTGTGACATACCTACATGAATATCCGCATTAAAGCAGTACAAAAGTTAGTGTGGCTTTTGAAATTGGAGCAGTACGAGAGGGATTACAGTACTGTTAGCACAAAATGCACATTCGACGTTTATTTTAGCACGAAAAACAAACAGTTTCGTAGAAAGCAAGCGCCACGAGTGTACAAGTGTATCGCAGAAAACGTTACGTACTGGTAACATTCAAAGTCGCAAAATCGAAGTTTTGTTTACAACCACGACTGAAAATCTGTCAGGGTGACAAAAGTGTCTGAGCGGATGCGGAAAGGCCTATTATTACGTCACTTCTCTGCATCTTGCCGATTGGCCAATGTTACGAAATAAACAAGGACGACGAAGCTCGTGAAAATATTCCTTGGAAAAAAATTTAGCCATTTTTTGCGTGTTATTGCGAACCGGATAAAATGACGCCGCGGGCCGGATAAAATGACGTCGCGGGCCGGATCCGGCCCGCGGGCAGTAGTTTGGTGACCCCTGCTATAGAGAGTTAAAATACAAATAAAAGTTTTTAAACGCCACGTGCTTGAATATCAACGTGAATTAGGATCTACATATTTTATCCCGAGGAGAGACAAGCCGATGAGACGCCACTTGTCCGAATACCAGTCCATGTGGGATCAGTCAGCCAGTTATTTGTTTCAAATACTCTGTTGTATCTCCGCTCTAGGAGATCCTTATTCTCGGTCGTTCTGTATGTCTGTCGTCTGTCTGTCTGTCTGTTTGTCCAGCTGTAGAGATCAAATGGCTGGACAGTTCCGGCTGAAATTTTTCGCACGTGTTATCATGTCACGCTAATGTTATGCGTTTCACCCAAATTCAGGATTAATGTTCCATTTCCATGATAACGGCGAGAAAACGCGCCGATCCCTAAATTGTTTCCAGTTTTCTCATAATATTTCACCATTTTCTAGTTCAGTAGGACTAATATTGAAATTCCGAGAACGCTACCTTCAGCATGAGAAAATACTCTTTCCATCAAGTCGACTTTGGTATTGATATTCTTTAAACTGGAGGAGCCTTAGAGATTTTTGTGAACATTTTTTTCAATTTCCAGCCGCATTATATCAGTCACGCTAATATGTCTACAAAACGCGCAGCGTTTGGAATGAACTGGCCTTTTCGACAACCCGCTCACTTTTTAATCGTGTCGCCGTTATCTTCAAGTTTCCATTGATGGCAACCGGCCTCAACTATCAGAGGAGATCCTGGGCGCCTACCGGCTTGTCTGTCTGTCGGATTGTCCAGCTGTAGCGTCCAAACGGTAGGACAGATCAGGATGAATTTTCACGTGGGTCATCCTGTCACCCTAGTCTTATGCCTTTCATCCATGTTCAAGATTGATGTTTCGTTTCCATGGCAGCAGCGAAAAAACGCGCCGATCGGTGAAAAATTTCCAATTTTTTCATAATTTTTACCCATTTTCTAGTCAACTAAGTCGAATATTAAAACTCCAAAAACGCTACCTTCTGCGGATGAAAATACGCTTTCGAACAAACTGTTTTTCATCTCGATAGTTCATAAACCGGAGAAGCCTTAGGAATTTTAGCGCACATATTTTAATTATTAGCTGCAACACACTGTATGCGGAGAATACCGACAAGACAGACGCACAGCGTTCAAAATTAACCGGCAGCTCCTTTACCAGTTAGTAACTCTGAAATGACGTCGCGATCGAGCATAGGCGGGGATCAATACTGGGCGCCCGCCGCCTCGTTTCTAATCTTTTTTTAGATTTTCTTTCTAAATATCTATCCCACCACCATCTGTTCTAGAGTGATCGATAACGTAAGGCACCTCAATATAATATTCCGAGTTCATATCAAATACAGAATTATCTTGAACCAAATAAGTGCTCGCTGAGATTTGATTTCTACTTTGTTCAATTAGTTACCATAAATGTGTTGTCATAAATATGTATGTCGTTCAGAGCACCTGCATGTCATTCACGAAACACAATGGTCCAAAATCTAAATAAACAGCATGAGATCACTAGGACAGACCACAGTGAAATTCTACAATGTATTTATCTAACTTGTCAGTCTGTTCAACAGTGACAACTTAGAAGAAAATCTCTGCACTAGTGAAAGTTGTTCCAGTCAGTGACACTCAAGATCGTCCGTCAACTGACTCTATTTTTATTACACAAATGCTATGATCAGCATCACATCCAATCTTTATCATTATTAGCGAACATGCTATCTCGCCCTTACTAAAAATGAAAAAAATCAAATAATGTCTTTCGTTTCAGAGATATTGATTTATTACACATAATTTTCCATGTTGAATATAAGCAGCTGGTAACGCTGAACCTTAAACAATAATAAGTAGAATAATAACAATACATTGTAAAATTCAAATTAAATATTCTGCTTATAGAAAAATTGATATCAAGCAATATTTGAAACTCTGTTGTAGTTCACAAAGAGTTGAGCGAAATTAGAAATAAAAAAAATGTTAGCGAGATCTCATCCGACAGCATACTCATTCTTTCAAATTAGTTTTGTACATTTTAACACACATCCACTTGATTACATAAGCGATTAAAAAATTCATTTGATTCAGGATTCCTTAACTATATTGAGAATAATAAAATGATTAAGAGAACATAATAAAAACCAAAATAGAGCGTTCACAATTCTTGTGAGCTTCCTATTCAATCCAGAGAAACAAACCATTTTATTACATTACAATTATAACGAATACTCCTGTTGCAAGCGCAAACTCGATATATAAGTAAAAAACCATCCAGTGAAATGCTGTGCATAGAAACTACACTGATATAACGTCTTGTCCTGATTGTATTCGATCAAAAATGAATATCAAGTGTTTCTATGATTTTACGACAATCGGATTATCTCACAATTGCAATGGTCAAGTTAGTAGTATGAAGTGCCTTTGGATAATTACTTTGCTAAGTTAATTGTCCTTACTTTATAGAAATAATGATAGAACAGCAGGAAGCATTAATGAGAACATGATGAAAACGACAATTAAACAAGTAACAGGCAGTAGTCACAAGAATAGTTCCGATTACTAATACATGTGGAATGTTTCTTTCCCGAATACAAGATATAGGAAACACTTTATTAATATAAAAACATATACATCAGAATCAATCAATAATAGGACACGAGTACTCAATTCATTTTAAGCATCCCCAGTTGGGATGTGGAAGTGCTTTTCAGGTTGACATGTATTTGGTCTGAGAAATATCAGTTTTGCATGTTTGAGCTATCACAGAGTTGGTAGTTTTGGCAAAATGTAAATTGTGCTTCACCAATTTTAAATCATGAATCTCAAAAAACAAAATCATTCATTGATGTTGTTTGCAAAGACAAATCTCAACACACCAACAAGCTCATACACATGTTGCAAAAACTAGACGATTAACAGTCCATAAAACTGAAAAGTTGGCCTTTTAATTTCATAAAAAGATAATTAAGTTTACACGCCTATACATTATGCATATAATATGAAGTATATCGGGGAGCTACACGAATCATCCTCTCCTTTTATCTTTCCCATTTCCCATGTTCATAAAAACATGCAAACTACATCATCTCCACATAATTGGCAGGGAATAGTCCAGTAGCTCCACGGCAAGTTCCAGACCACCATCCTTCATCAACTTGCTCAATGTTTGTAATAATCTCATCCGGATCAAATGTGATTTCATCACTGCCGGCTGAAAATAATGGAATTATGTTAAATAATTCTGAATGAATTTAGTGTAATTTAAAGTCCTTGACATACATCAATCAATAGAAAATATTAGAATACAAAATTGTGTACTCCCGTAGTATGTGTACCAGCTACCAGGTTAGGGTTCGGCCATAATTTTATTCCGATTTTCCTTAGTTTATTTTTATTACAAGATCGGGGAATGTTTTTACACAACTTGATGTAAGGTAGGCAAACAAATTTAGTTACCGGTACCTCCATATTGGTACACATACTTCTGTAGTGCCCAAAATTTTGGTTTCAGGTGAGTTTTCAAGTAAAAACAAATAATGGACCAATTGATTTCAAATTTCCAGCTAGAAGGCTATTACTTTTATACAGGAACATTTTAAATTTTAATTAATTTTGAATCCCACATAGGGGTCTCTTAAATTCGGCCCAAAGTTTTCTTTCTTTTTTTAATTTATATGAATATCATATTATGTGCATTATACAGCATGTGCATTTGGTGCAGTTATTTTAATATTTAGCTGAAATTTTGCTGACGTTGAGATATTTGAGAATTACAATTTTTACTGTGACTATTTATTGCATTTCTTTATTTGTTTGTGTTTGTCTTTCTAATACTTTTATCGATTGGCATTTATTTGCCAAAGTAAACATTGATTATTTCGATCCATATTGTATTTTCAAAATTGGATTCATTCAACATGTGAAAGTTATCTTATCCGATCTTTGTTTCACGCCATATGCACCTTAAATACCTTTGCATTGTATTAATACTACCACTAGTAAATTGCATTAGAAATATTGCATGTCTAATTCACAATTTATTTTTTTATTCTTTTCTTTAATTTTACAATATTTCATGCAGAATGGATATAAACAGTCTCAATCAGAAACATGAGTGAAATGTGCTGATACTTTATGGCTATATAAAATTAATTCTAGCTTTGACTGTAATGTTTTTGAGGTAATAAATATTACCTGCTTGATAATCATATAAAGCTCGAGCACATAATCCTTCATCTCCACCTTGTTGTTGTGGAGCTTGTTGTTGTGAAGCTGCATCATCTGCTCCGAGGGCTGTCAGAAAAAGTAAATTTTAGCTTTGGAAGCGTTTAATTTCGTATAAATTTTAACAAATATATATTTCAATATTTAATAATAATCTTTCTATATAACCAATTTTATTTCAATAATATCAAAATTTATTAACTATATGATAAAACAACTTTATCAAATCCTGGTAAGGACCGAGATTTGTCATAAATTTCAAGTCCACCAACAGTATAATTCAACAGAAATCTATAATCTAACAATTTGTATAGAACAGCTTTTATTGATGGAGAAAGTAGACAATCGTATCACAGAATAATAACTTACCATAAAATTCTAAATAAAAAAATATTAGATAATGCACTTTCAAAAATATTCAAATTGAATTATGGTAAAACACCAAAAAATCACATCATTGAGATATTGTCATCATTATCAATGATTTTTGCTTCAACAAATTTGTTTACGAATATCGAAAGTATAACTTATACCTTCATAGGCATTTTCATCTTCATTATAATCAGTGGAATATGCTTGTTGTTGGTCATGTTGCACAGGTGGACCAGTATCTTCATATGGATCTTCTTGTGCCTCTGGTACATATTCAGTCTGGGGATCTCCATAAGCATATTCAGGTTCTGGCTCATATGTAGTTTCGGCTTCATATCCAGCAGGTTCTAATTCATAAGCATTCGAAGCCTGTATTTATAAAAAAGTAAAATATTCGTTTCACAAATTTTTAATACCAAGAACTAAGAAAAGGCAAAAATTACAAGTTACAAGGATTAATTAAATTTTTTAATTAACTCCAGCCTTTGGACTGAGCATATATTTTTTTTATGAAAAGTATTATTGGCTTTACGACTGATATGACACTCACATCATCTTGTTGTTGTTGAGCTGCAGCTGCTGCCTCTTGTTCTCTCTTTCTTGCTTCTTCCTCCTGTTGTCTCCTGTACTCTTCTTCTTCTTCTTGCCTTCTTCTCTCATCCTCCTGCTGTCTTCTCTGTTCATCTTCATACCTTTGATGTTCCTATCAGATGTACGAAATATAGCTGCACTTATAAAAAATGTAGATATTTCAAGGATCAAGGAGAAAATGAATTCTCTTTGTATGACACTTATTCACGCTTTTCGTTCTAACAAGCCCATATATACATGCAGTCGCTGAAATCTGATGATATTCAAGAAGTACTATGATTAAGAAAGACAAAAAATTCTTCCTGTTTGGCATTGTCTACCCAATGTATTACACCCAGGGTGAGGTGTGTGCATAGGATTTGGACCAGAGATATGTAATCTGGGATGTCGATATGGTTAAGTATAACGCTTCAGCGAATATCTCACGAAACAATCAATAATATGGTGGAATATCTAACAAAACAATCAATAATGTGATGGCTTCCTCCATGATCTTTCAGATTTGTACTGAATTTGATTATAACGAAAATTTTACAAAATATAACGTAATTCGACTCACTAGCATGTGCAAACGTGGGTACTCCCGAAGTATGTGAACCAAGATTCCGGACACCGGAACGTAGTATGTGTACCAGGTTAGGGTTAGGCCATAATTTCAGGTACAAATACTACGGGAGTCACTTGGCTAGTCCCCAAACTTGTGCTAGAACTAAAATGGGGAAAATTATTCGGGAGCACCCAAACGTGTATTGCAAGTAGACACCATTCAATTTCATTTGATATTAATTTTTATTGTCAGTAAAATGATAAAAAGGATCCAAATCTACCTCATTTTCAGCTGCAGCTGCTTCTCGTTGTTGCCTTTCTTCGGCAGCTTTTTTATCAGCTTGATCTTTGGCTGCTCGTCTTTGTTTTTCTTCTTCTCTCCTTCTCTGTTCATCTTCCTCTTGTTGTACTGCCATATTCTCAAATTTATTCCGAATGTTTCCAGTGCCCCCACTACCTGAAACATAGAACATTGTTTCAAAAAAAGGTTATGAAATACAGAGCAATCAAATTTTAGTTTGCGTCATGCTTTTCCTCGAAACTGCCTTTAGTCTAAAACAGGGGTTCCCAAGATTTTTTCAGGGCGACCCCGAAGACAACTTTCAAGTGTCCAGGGCGACCCCAGGTCAATATATATATATTTTTCAATACACCTTAGAGCTTCTTTCACGGAGCTTTTGAGTTTGGTTATGTGGTGGTATTAAGTAAAATAAGCTAAACCAAACAGTGATGTCACAATAAGCACCTACATTTTCTATAGCATAAGCATAGAGCGATGCCTATGGGCCTGTTTTACAGTAAGTCACGGTACAAACTGCTAAATTTAACATGGTTTGTCAAATCTTAGATGATTTGTACACCCATCTTCTACCATACCTCAGCGACGCCATGACCTGTTTGCGACCCTACCTACTTATCACTCCGACCCAACTTGGGGTCACGACCCCTGGTTTGGGAACCCCTGGTCTAAAATGAAATATTTGTAAGGAAATAATGATTTGAAGGTCTGTGTCATTATTAAGAATAATAAAAATTATATTTTGGCAGATTAGTGGTAAGATTGCATGCACCTGTATAGAATAACACTGTCATACATGCTTAGGTATAAGACTCAATTAATACCAGGGGTCAGTACTTTTTAAAATACCATTTTAATAATGGAACTCTTACTTGGAGCAACTTTTGTTGATTTGTAAGAAGAAGAAACATCAGACATATCTTCAAATGTTCCAGCATTCTGTATTTTCAGAATAAATACGATGAAATATTGATGAGATTAAACGTTTGAAATAGAAATGTGTATGTTAAAACAAAAACGCCTAGTTATAATGAATAGAGGCGTTTCACATTGGCAATCTTAAAAAAGGAAAAATTATAACTTACCACATATTACAATTGAGTTAAATAGTTTAAAACAACTTTATGTTCAAGTTTATCATAAAGCTATATTATTACTTGAGTCATTAGCATGGTCAAAACTTAATTAACAAAGCCATCTCACGACATATGCATAAATTATGACTTCTTAGTATTTACATTTACCTCATCCTTTCTATCTGTTTGAACACCATATTTTCCACCAAAACCAGTTGAATAATCTAAAATTTTTTTCAAAAAATAAAAACTAGTAGAATGTAGTTAACAATGATTGAAATGGTTCGGCTAGTAAACCCCTTGCATTCTCAAGGTTTTTGTGGAATTTGGATAATTTGTTTTTACTTGAAAAGAACATAGAACAGACACAATGAATGTGGGAAACTGTACACATAAAGAATGATTTGTATATAAAAAATATATGATTCCAGGACCAGAACTTCGGTAGTGTAGAATGTAGATCACCCACATAAAGTACCGGTAGGTAAAAATCAGCAATAACCTCATAATCAAAGCACTTTGCACTGAAGTAAAAATTATTAAAACAAATGCATCTCATATAAATCAAGTTACTTGTTATTCAATTTAAAATTAAGATTCCACCAGACCATTCAACAAAACAAAAATCATGATTATATAATAAATGAAAATCATTTGATACCACCTTTCTGTGATTCGTGTTTCGCTAATTTTTGTTGTTCTTCCCATCCATAAGCAGTCTTATCTTGACGGTCTTTCTGTACCCCAAATTTTCCACCAAATCCCTTTGTATAATCTTTTTATTCGCAAATAAATAATCAGTAAAAACATGCAAAAGTAAAATATTGAATTCGAAAATTTCCTTTTTTAAATACAACATGCATAGTTTATGAATAATTATCCATTAATTGGTAACAAATAATGGGCTGTTGTATGCAATATAATTCTTACTGTAAACTAACACAAATGCATATCTGTAATTTTTTTTTGGTCAACAGCAGACATTTTCCAGACATGTATATTTGAACTATGAAAAGAGCGATGATATCTAATAAATAACAGTCACATTTGGTCTACTTATACTCTTTTCATAGTTGAAATAAGTTTGCCACTACCAGAGCAAATGCATAGGCTATAGGAAGAATAATCATGTTTTGTAACTTTTCAATTTTACAGAGAGTTGTTGGGTGATTGGCAATTTTTAAATAAAATTTTAATGAATCTGGTACCACATACTCTAGAATCCATTTAGTTACAAAATACACTATGATACGGTCATCCTGTTCAGCTTAAATATATAACGATACAAATTTTATATTAATTGGAGGGGGGAGGATGAATGAAAAGATGACTCAATCATACAGCATTAAAATAGTTAACCAGTTATATGTAAATCACCCTACGACGGGAGAGGAATTCGGCAATCCTCTCGAACAGAATTCCAACCTACGAATGCACGCAGGGTAGTCAGGTGTGATGGCAAGCATGTTTCTTTTGCTTTGCAAAACCATGTCACAACCAACAAAATAATCAAGACATTATACTTAAAATCACCGGAAATAAAAGAAATTAACTAACTTAAAAAAACATCATACACACATTAGTAAAATTAATCCAAAGTCAAAATCATTTCATACCTTGCTGCGATTCATGTTTGGACAATTGAGCTTGTTCATCCCATCCATGTGCTGCTTTGTCTTGTCTATCTTTCTGAACTCCATATTTGCCACCAAAACCAGTTGTATAATCTTGAATCACATAAATAGATTGAGATGCTTAGTTTAGATAAATCTCTTACAAAAAAAAATTATTTTATAATAAAACATAAAAGTGTTCATTCATATTCAAACCAGGAATTACGCCGGCCAACTGCAATACAAAACGACCTAATTTATCAAACATGGGATAGCTTTCATTAAAAGTGTAGAAATAGGACGAGACTTCCATATTGATCACAAAAGAGCAGAGTGCCGATAAGACCGATTAATATATGCCGTCTCATGGCCCTTCGTCCGGTTACCAGTTTGGATTTCAAATACATGAACTTGATACATGTCAGTCAGATATGACTTCTTTGTTATGTCACGTTTTGTAGCAAATATATATAAATGGGTAAAAACTACCTTTTTGGGATTCATGTTTAGATAATTGTGCTTGTTCATCCCATCCATGTGCTGCTTTATCTTGTCTATCTTTCTGAACTCCATATTTGCCACCAAAACCAGTTGCATAATCTACATTTGACAGAGCATTAAAGTAAATTATTACCGATATACCTTATTCTGATATAAAATAAAATAACCTTGAAATTTTTTATGATCAGCCCGACCCAGATGAAAATTTTAATATTTTAGATTCATATATTTTGCGGCAAATTTGTGTTTTTTTTCGTGACTGGAACGAACCCAGAATTTGCTTCACAATTCCTTCAAGTTAAAACCACAAATATTTTGATTAGAAAATAATACTACTCAGTTTAGATTTACTCCTAATTCAGAAAGTATCAATAATAATTGAATATAAAAAATATAAAAATATATTTACTTTGCTATATTTGCTTCAAAACAGAGCTGTTATGCTAATTCCATTAATAAAAAATATGATGTTAGAAAGGATGCAGAACACAATGCCTAACAGAATCAGGGACTAACAAACACAGAGCCAAGTTCCATAAATGTGTATTGTTTAACAAGGTTCAAAATATCCACGATTCTTTAAACCATGCAAATTGGAAAAAAAATGCACACCATCAAGCAATTGTAAGAGTCACCACCAATTCTCCAAATCCAAAAAAGTGTAAGAATTTGAAATTTTAAAATGGAAATCATGTAAGACCAGTTTATTTATGAAATGTTAAAGGCTGCACTTTTCAAGTTAACATAACTCATACTTTTGTGGACTGTTTTATATGAATATCAAAATTTATTCATCAACAAAAATTATCATTAATTAAAAAAATAATTTTTATATTTTCACTTCAATTCATACCAACATTGTTAATTATTAATCAAATCATAATATTCAAGCAAGATGAAATCACGCCATAAACCTTTTTGTGATTCATGCTTGTGCAATTTCTCTTGATGTTCCCAAGACAATGCTGATTTGTCCTGTCGATCACGTTGCACTCCGTACTTCCCACCAAAACCGTAAGAATAATCTTCGGTGTGTCAATAAAATCATGCAGCAATGAGGAAAATGAAAAAAAATCAAGTGAAGGTAATCACATGCAAAAAAATAAAAAATTGAACCCAGTAAATCCACACGAAATAATCACAAAAAAACGGTGTTTCCCATCATTTTCAACTTTATAAGTTGTGGTTTAAATTTCATTTTAAAGGTCCCTGGTAATAACGCTAATATTTCATAGAATTAAGATTATGATCGTTATTTAAAAAAAATATTGAATATATTCTGAATGAAATTACTAATAAAAATATTAACTGACAGATCTATGTAAGATTTAGCGTGAAATGAGCAAATTAATCAATAAATCAAACATCAACAATAACACAATAATATTTGAAAATTTCATATAATTGAGTCAATTTATTTGAAAGCGTCTTCGTTAAATCAAATTAAATAACTCTGATCATTATGAATATGAAATGATATTCTGTTGCAGTAAAACGTTATTTTTTATGAAGTTAGGTAAATCAGAATATAAATTATATGAGCAAAATTCTAAAATGAATTAATAAGCTGGGACTTCATTCAATTTATTTTCAAATATAAACAATTTTTTTAATAGAACTTTGAAATAAATGAATATAAATGACTTTGATAGAAAACCCAACGGATGTTGTGCATTAAATGAGCAATCAAGTAAACATGCAAAAAATTAGGTATTTTATACCTTTTTGAGACTCATGCTTGTTCATCTTCTCTTTGTATTCGAAAGTTTCAGCACTCTGGAATCGTATAAATAGAAAGAATATGATATTTCTCCCAATTTACATAAATGTTTGTTTGTATAAAAAAATTACAAATTAATTAGGATAATGAGAAATGTATACAACATAGTTGTTTTTTAATCCAGGGTTGGGTATGGGACTAATTACCCAGTAATTCATTCAAGATGTAAGAGGTTGGACCTGGTTGGCTGAAGTTAATGCGTCTTATGATCCAGCTGATAAAGAGGTTTCAAAAATTGCATGTGTTGCCTTTAATGCAAAATTCAGTACCTTATCCATCCTGTCTTTTTGTACACCAAATTTACCACCAAAACCTTTAGCTGCGTCTGTTTGAGATTCGTGAGCTGCGAGTTTGGCTTTATAACTGAAGTCAACAGCAGACTAAATATAATATATACATTTTAAGATTAAAAAAATATAATGGAAACAATCAAAAAATTGAGAGAAACGAAATGACAATTTCTGAATCCCATACATGTGCATGGCTTTTATAATATAATTAACATAATAGCAATACTAACTTTGTCAACTCTGTCTTTCTGTACACCAAATTTCCCGCCAAATCCTTTTGCTGCATCAACTTGGGATGTATGAGCTGCAAGCTTTGCCTGATATGTGTTATCAACAGCAGATTTATCCATTCGGTCTTTCTGAACACCAAACTTTCCTCCGTACCTGAATAACAGAATCATGAATAGATAGGGGTGACTATTCTATATCGAGAAAGGATACTTATTAGCAGAATATCTTTTGTTTTTGAACCAAATAAACTAACATAAAAAAAAAATTCTTTAAAATACAATTATGGTATGACTTTGAACTCAATATTATACTCATTTGTTTATTTCTGGGGGCATTCCATAAAAGTGGTTGTAACTATATAGCTATATCATGTGTTAATTGTACCAAACTTCCCACTCAGGAAGTTCGCTTTAGGTAAGACACATGGATCAGTGAAACATGGTGACTATTCTATTGATTTGTGAACTAGATTACACAAACTCTATAAACAGAAATTTTTATTGAAAATGTTAATCCTCCACACTTTAGACTTTAGAGCATTTACAATATCACACAAAAACCAAGGAAGGCTAAGTTTTAAGGCTAAAGATTTACATATTTATCTCGGGAAAGAGGAAAGCCATATGTCGAACCACAGCCTCTCGTCCGGTTACCAGTTTATGTCGAGTATGGGGTTAGTAAGCCAGTTATTTGTTCCAGATGCATTGACTTTATTGTGGAGTAAATTTAAAATGCACGATGCACGAGTCGGTGAATTAGAGAATGATGTAACTACCCCCACTTTTGTGCATAACAGAATAGAATGTCATAAATTACTCACCCATATGATGCTTTTGGTCCTGTTTTTGCTTCTTCTTGCTTCGCTTTTTCATCATCTTTTTGCACATCTTTACGAAGTCCACTTACACTAAAACGAAATAGAAAATGAACAATTATAACAAAAATGAGTAAGCAATGCTTGAAAAGCGTACTATGTCCAATTATAGTTTCAAAAGGCACTTTTGATATGCCTTCTGATAGATTTAAAGTGCAGCTGGAAAGACACACTCTCAATTAGAGAAATGATGAGAGTAGCTGTACAATAACTTTGATCAAGCGTTCAGTACAGAGAATAAATGATAGAATTCTAAAATAGTGCTTTCTGTAACTCTGATATTAACATTTCCATCCACTTCATATTACATTTAGCTGAAACCGATACCTTATGTGTCCAACTCTTCCTGAACCTTCGATAGTTTTTGATCCCCATCTTTGTTCTGTTTCAGAAACTTCATTCTATAGATAAATAAATGAACTTTATTTAAAACAAAACCATCTACTACCAGATTCTTTATACAATTTTTTCATGTCTTGGGGAGCTGATTTTGATATCGTTACCCAGCATATACCTAATAACCTTGAGAATGTAGTATATTTTTATTATTGTTGCGGCGCTCGTTTGCTGGTTGACCAAATAATAAATCTCTTTCCTCAGTCTGGGTAAGGCTCTGAATAAAACAGTTGTCAAATAAGCAGTATATGGTATGTATTAAGTAAATATTGACATTATGCTAGTCATAGTAATTTTCCAAATTCTGTTCATTTATTATGTTAATTATTAGGTACTCCCGAAGTATGGGAACCAAGATGGCAGATACCGGAGCATAGTATGTGTACCAGGTTAGGCCATAATTTTACTTCAATTTTCCTTATTATAGTTCTATTACGAGTTCGGGGACTTGCCAAGTGACTCCCGTAGTATTTGTGCCTGAAATTATGGCCTAAGCCTAACCTGGTACACATACTACGTTATGGTGTCCGCTATCTTGGTTCACATACTTCAGGAGTACCAATCATTATGTGATTAATACTTCACCACAAAATCAGGATCAGTTTCCCATTCATCATCATCATCATTTCCAACTGTTGGGTTTTTGATATCAACATTATTTCCTACTGTGGATCTCCACATGTTTTCGATTAATAGTGGCTTTTTCAATATTTAATCAATTCTCTTAGATTTTTAAAACTATTCATTAAAAATTGAATACAAAAGTAATTTAGAACATTTTTAATGAAAAAAATGAGGAACATTGAAACTTTGTATAAAGCAGCATGTCAACAATTTCCAGTCTACCATACAAAATAAAGTGAAAATAATCAAAAAGCTTTCAACATGGAAATCCTAATGGCTAAAAAATAGTATTTCTTTACCGGTACTTCATTTTCACGATGCTTATTGAAATATTTTACTGTTGAGTAACTTAAGATAATGATTTGTCTTAGGTACAATGGATACCGAAGAATGTTCACCAAAATTCGATAACAATTTGTCATCATCAAATATAGCTGAGCAGCAGAAATTATAATATCCCTACTTCAATTCAAATTTATGGTAAATATGAAAAAAATTATAAAGAATGTAACATTGAAACCTTGATCGTTACCATTAGTTTATTATTAAATGAAAATAGAGAAAACATACAATCATTGCTAATCTGCTTTAACATTCATGTCAAATGCAGCTTTAGATTGATAGCAAACAAACGAGTATCTGAAAACTTTGCAAAATAATATCTTTGTGAAGATTAAGCAAAATCGTGAGCACTTATATTAAACATAGGAAAGTACATGTTGGCAGTTGATGGCATTGCGAGACAGCAACAAAGCGGTAGGAAATAGCAAAAATGCTCATTCTGTTAAAAATACACTTTACATTCAAATCATAATTTCTATAATATCTCCTATTTTTTACTCGATGGAGAAAAAAAACTTGAAATGCTTTTCATTCCCTTTTTGTTTACTTTATTCAAGTCTCTTTGTGCTTTTGACACTTTTGCCTTTTTATTTTTAGCTTCTCCATGACTTTCTTTCTCGTTTTTGATTTTTTTTGCAGTGAGCTGATTCCCGTGCTCCATAGAATGTCGCTTTTCTGCACGTTTTCTTATATTTAAATGTTTCTGTAGAAGACTCGCAATATCTTCATTAAGATAGCTTTCAACAAATCGAAAAGCATATTCTAGTTGAATTTCATCTTCATTTTCTTTATCATCACAATTATCCGCTATAAAAATACCAGAAGAAGTGACAGCATTTACTGTATTTTTGACTTTTTTACTCAGCCATTCCAATGTTTTTTCCTGGCTGTATTTGAATCCTACAAAATCACCAGTTCCAGAGACTTCTGCAACATTTTCCATTTGTGATTTTGATAATATCTTAACAAATTTGTTACAATCTGAATATTTTTCATCTTTTAAAATCTGATCTAAAATTACATATTTTTCTGCCTGACCACTGTTATTCAAATAAGGAAGAACAATATAAAGTGGGTCAATTATTGTTGCAACGAATAAAGAACCATCCTGCTGAACTTTGGCATCAACAAACCAGGATCCATACTTATCTCTGTGTGAATTTATTTCATACAACTGCTTCAGTTTGTCATTAAACAGGAATTTTGAAGGCTCTCCTGTACATGGATGTTTCAAGGTAAGCACAGACAGCGATGTTGAATCTACATTTAGATTCTCAGACTTGATCCCTCCTTCCAGCTTATTCATCACACAATCTTTCGGCAACATATATATCCATTCATTGCTACAGTCTTCATTTGTACCCATTTTTAAGATATAATCTACAAGTTTGCTAGAACTGTAGAACGTGACAATTCAAGATTGCAGAAATAAATTCAAGGTAAAAGTCAGTGGAATGATTGTGTTTACTGTACAAATCTAAAAATGCATACCAGTATGTCTGTATGTCAAATTATTGCTTTGGAACACATTCTTTATTTTTCTAAATCTAAAATTGGCCCAAATAAACCCTTGAGCAAGGGGACGACAAATGTCTCTTTGCAATTTTTATACACATTCTGACATTACACACAACCTTCATGTTTCCACTTTGGGATTGATTATATACAGATATAGACTATAATACTGTAATAATAATAACTTAAATCTCAAATTTCACATTCAAACATACAGCATTACCATTTTCCCGATAAGTTGGTTTGAAATAAGTTGTGTACAATACTGTACCCTATGTGGTTGCAATAACTGAATAACATAGACTAAATGCTGGAATGTTTTAGGTTTGTAGGCTATTACTTTTAAAATTAACGATTAACATTGTCTGATTGTTTTACTTTACGGTAGACTACTACAGTACCGGTAGCCTACTGGTTTTTTTCCATTCTGTTATATGTATTAAGGAAAGTAGACTAGGTATAGAAGTAGACACACAATTCCCTGGTGCTTGGTGTTTCAAATTCCTCTTCCAGTTTAGAGTTAAGACTTTCCAGCTTTTACTGATTTGTCAGTCGATTCTCGTTTCTGTCTACAGTACGGTATCTAAGTTCTACCATACAGTACTACAGCTTCTAGAAAACTGTTTATACTATCGATAAATCAGAAGTTGGCTTCGCATAGAATGAGACCAGTTTTCTTCGAAATTCGTAAAAAGAATATCATGTACGACAACGGTACAGCGCCCAAACTTGGAGGAAATTGCAAAACACCGTCAGGCACAACAAGAGGCTCGCCCATGAGCGACAGTTTGATTGACATATGCATTCAACCGTGAATCTTTCCGGCTCGAGTTATACCATGGTTATCAGTCGTTGGTGGTTATGACTGCTTCTCATGTTCTTATTTTTTGACATCTCTTCCGACAGTTGACAAAATGGTTTTACAAAATGGTTTACTCGTTTCATAACCATCAATATAATTCCAAAGATTTAACGACACGTACTAACCGCTAATTTCAGTCTAGTCTGTTGCAGCCCCAGATATATACAGGGGGTCCGCTTCTCTCTCATTTCTGTGGTATCAATTGAAGGCTCTTTCGTTTTGACGATGGACTTCCAACTTTTTCATGGCGCGTAATGCAATTATTATGGTATTTGACAGAAATCGAATATTTGCGTCAATTTTTCTTGCATAGCCTATTCGCCTGATCTTGATTCGTTTCTTGCTGTTGGCTCGTATTAGTGGCGAGGCGGCGTGGCTCATCGTGCTAAGCGTTAGGAATTGGTTTCATGTAACCGGTGGTCGGTTACGGCCTCCCCAACCATACCGTGCTAATTCTAACTGTTTTTTTTTTTTTCAATTTGCGTTAGTCGTGGATGATAATATGTCCAACGTACCAGTCAAAAGCGAACATTAACGACCACAGAACATTACCCAATGTGGTTTATTGTAATCGCTTCCCCATTTACATGTATTTGGCTATATTTTATCGATAATTCCGTATTTTGCGAGGCGATCTCAATGTCATTGCGTGGCCTGGTTTTGTAGTAAGCTACCGAAGCCATACCTATAAATAGAACTAGAGCGCGCTTCTATTCTTTTTTTGCGGGATCAACTGAAGACTTTGGTGTAATCTCTCCAATGGAAGTCATTGCGTTTTTATGAGCGCAGTCAAAAACAATTGTTTCCACTTATATCTTTTGTGTAATCGCCCAAACAGCAAATTTTTTTCAACATCGAGATCCATTTCAGGCTCTAAATTCCTAACTGAAATATAATTGTATTTGCATATCCAGTAAGTATCACATGTAGGCTACAAGTGCAGATGGTCAGTCAAATACATTACCGTACTTTTTATGGGTTACAAATTGTTTCATGGCTAAGAACAAAATAATTACCACCCTTTAAATATGGAAACATTCCCCAAAACTGCAAATCTGCTTTTGTATGGTTTAAGCAGTTGATGAAAATGAAACCCCAAAATCAGGATGTTCAAAACGAATTGAATATTCAAACCTATTACAAGTTTATTATATTGGAAGTAGTAGATTCTCGATTTTAGGAAAACTTTAAAATATCTAAATTTGCAAATTGTCGATTTTTAGACCTAAATTTGGCATCAACCAGTAAGGGAAAAGCATGTATTTCAAATATGATGGAAGCAAAGATATACAGAATATTGTAATATTCCAAATAAAGTTGTTCACAGTTTAGAACTTTAGAATATATATATTGCATATCAGTGGTGGCGCGTGGTCATTTTGACAACCGGGGCAAGCTACTGCGGGACCAAGTCACCCCCATCTACGGGGACAGGATGAGCGCTGTAAGTTCTCCCATCATTTTATGAGTATAAAAACCATTCCATCGGTAACAACCAATCAGCAAAAGCGACAATTTTTAACGATAAGAAAGTGTCTTTAAAACCGGTCCAAGTCAAGGGATTAATAAATATAGACATAGTTTATTTTGAAACCTCTTTCAAAAGGAAAGGCAATATGGGTACAATGACATATTAACAGAAACTTCGGGAAAGCAGACAAAACCTAAAATAAGGTTTAAAACGTTACTATGAAGAAAGGAAAGTTAATGCAAAGATAAGGACATGCGTCGCTCACTCATAGATATATATGCAGCTAGACTTCTACTGCTTGAACATATATGCAACACGCCGCGGTTTCTTGGAAGCAAAATGCTCAATAACGCGCTGATTAAAGTCATGCATCCCAGAAATAACGTCTCTGTGAATGGATAAAACAGCCAAGGAATTTAATCTATCTTGCTTCATTGTGTTTCTGAGATACGTTTTAATACGTTTCAGCGTGCTGAATGTTCACTCTGCGTCGGCGGAAAGAATAGGCGTCGTCAAAATGATGTCCAGAAATTTTGCAGACGCGGCAAAGGTAGTTACTAGAGTGTTATCTATGAGGAACCCATAGAGCGCGCAAGTTGATGTGATGTTCAAAAAAGTTTGATTGGTGTATATACATCGCAATTCATTTTCCAATTTACCCACGTTTATCATGGGGTAAAATTTGGAAACAGTAGCGAACAAATGGATGGGAAATTGACGTACAAATTTTGAAAAATGTTTGGGGTTCATCAAAGAGAACACGGCAAGGTGTTCAGTGCGCAGACGATCGCCTATTTGATTCACCAGAATGTCACAGCATTCCTTTGCAGACAAAATCAAACGCTGCGTTGTTTGCCCGCGGCGTAAAGAAGCACTCCATGTGTCGTCGTATTTTATTGTTTCCCGGATACGAGATACAGCATCGCAGAAGTCTGAAATACACGACTGCACAGACGCTCCATCCATTAGCCTTGACTGCAATGTGCCGTATAATACATCCACGTGATAGAATATTGTGGAGAAAAAAGCGAGAAAAAATGAAAACTCACCATCTTCTAGCAGACGCTTTAGACCTGCCGCCTCCCTCACAGAGCGTTCGTCCCAAACCGGAGAGCTCTGAATGCCATTGAAACACTCAATGAGCTCAGATCTAATTTCGGACACGCCCTGCACCACGCGTGATTGGAAGTTCCAACGTGTTGGTGCACAAGCTGGGAGACGGCGGCTACATATCTGGCGAAGGAGGTCAGAGCACTTCGGCGAAACGGAAAAAAATGAAGAAAACCCCGAAACATTTGCAAAAAATATACGGACGAGAGGGGTATCAAGACACATATTTTAAATAACGAGGTTAAATTGGTGTGCATAACAATGTGAAAAATGCGCATGAGGAAAATCTTCTTTTATATAAACTTGAACACCATGTTTCGACCCACTCATGACTGCCGCGCCGTCATAAGTTTGAGCTATCAATTTTGACTTCGCGTTGTAAGGCTGTAACACTTCTTTCAGTACAGCCGATATCCCGCAAGCCGTGCGATCAACGATTGGTACAAAGCTTTGAAATCTCTCGGTAGGTTTACCATCTTTCACAAACCGAAAAATCACAGCCAGTTGAGAAACGCACGTGCTGTCAGTTGTCTCGTCAGACTGAATCGAAAGGAACTGGCAATTCTCAATTTCCAGAGCCAAATGTCGTAAATAAATTTTATACATTGAGTCGAGCAAATCATTTTGGATATCCTTAGATGTCCCTTTCGAAACAGTTGCGGCATCAAGATGATCTCTCAATACTGTATCTAGGGATGCGGTGTATTCCACCATATCCAAAAATATCCCTCTATTAGAAGAGCCAGCCCGTTCATCGTGCCCACGGAGGGACAGCTAGTGACGACCAATGAACTTCAAAACATCTATCAATCGACCGAGAACATGGCGGTTTTTCTCGACGTTTTGTTGTGCCGATGAATAGAAACCGCGCGTCCTTCATCCAACTGTGCTGCAATATTAACATTTCCGAATGTTCGGTATTTTACTGCATTGTCCAGATGCTCCATAGAAGATTGATGATCCCTGGCACGCTCGGAAAGATGTTTAAGATCTCTAAAACCAAATTTACACCAACGTGAGTCACGGGCGGTAGCAAAAAGTAAGCAATAAAAACAAAAAAGTGCATTTTTGTCCTCGCTGTAACACAACCATTCGTGTTTTTTATACCAAGTTTCTGCGCAGAATGTACGCCGACGCTTTCCTCCGTCATGGGATTGTTCCAATGAACAATTTTTTGGTTGATATGGCCCAAGACGTTGTACCTCTAATTTTTGTTCCAGCGGCAGCTGCGAAAACGGAGTGCGAAGTAGTGCATCAACCTTATTCATTATGAGGTCTAAGGCTAAGAAATGCGAAGCCAAAAGAAGTGAGGAGCTCAAAAGGAATGTGGAATATCGAAAGCAAATGGACTAAAGGTCTCTAACTGATTCAAATAGCGAAACAAGCGACAAAAACGAAGGCGAGGAAACTATCAACTCTTCAAGCAACCAACGAACGAGAAGGAATGCGTGAATATGTCAACACGTTGTTGTAAGAAACGTCGGCATTGTGTCGTCATAATTTCGGGGCTAGCCCCGATCGGCCCCGATGATTTAGTAAAAGAAACAGAAAACAAACGAGACAAACGCGGCGATTGGAAGATAAAAGAGAGAATACGATATACAATGAGCAACCGGGGCAAAATCGGCGTCGCCCCGTCGACGTTCGGCGAAGGCTTTGCGAGCGAAAAATGAACCATGTCGGAAGAATATGGCTAGTGTAGACAGTCTGTGCAACTGATATTGAGGTATTTTTCGAATATTTTTTATTATACCGAAAAAACAACCGGGACATTGCCCCGGTTGGCCCTATTGACGCGCCGCCACTGTTGCATATATATTTAAAAAATATATATCCGTTCAGAGCGTATTCTGAATAGTTGAGTATTCGTTTTTGGCCATCCCGTTGAAATGCAAAACTTTACTTCAAAATTACGCTACATTGAAGAAGCATCACCATTTAGCTGGATCAAATCAAAATTAATTTTTCCAAAACTATTGGTACCATCTTCTTATAACACTTGGGTATGATAGAGCTAGCCTCGAGACTTTGCCCACATATTTACGCTTTATTTGAATAACACTGAAAAGTCAGTCATTGCAAAAGTTTTCAGCTCATTTGAATATTTTATGCACTTTCCAGTTTCTAACTTCAATGAAAATCTATTGAGGATTTATGAAATATAGGCTTTCTTCACACGATGAACACTTTTTTGTGGACTTTCACACAGCTTTAATGAATTTTGCATACTTGGGCAACCAATATGATTTCTTGTGACAATGCTTTAAGTCATTTTTTACTGCTATTAAATTCTCAATTCGTTTATTACTCCAGACCGCTGCGGTCCATATAAAATAACACAAACAAATAAACATAAGCAAAAACAAAAATAGAACAATAAATAAATACATAAAGCAGCTGATTCGACAATCAGATTCACAGTAGATCTCAAAAAGAGTTAATACAGTAACCTAGGAGGCCAATAGTGAAGTATAGAATTCGAGATAGCCCGTCACAAACAGTAGGCCTATCTGGGAATCAAATGATGAATGTATTAGGATGTTATTAGAATCCCTGCATCTCGTCATAAACAACCACAAATTTTTTTCTATGGAGTGCCTCGAAAAAGGAATTGTCTCCAGATGCCATTTTGTGACGGACATTCTCAGATCTAGAAACACACTGAATTACGCAATAAGCATTATTACCGGTATATGAAATTTTACCTTTTTCATAATTATATTTGTTAGAAAACAACCAGAGCTTGCAGCTGTAAATACTACAACAATACGCCCTAAATAAAAGGTTTTTCACAGTAGTGGAACAATTGACCAATTTTTTCAGTACTTTTCCATAGTGTGGGCTATAAAATAAATTGATTTGATCGGACAGACCCTGGGGCACAATGAGACAGTCCATTAAATTCAACGAAGTATGCCCTTAGAATCAGCATCATCGTCTGAAGGACTGTGAGACCAGTGGCGTAGCCAGGAGGTGGTTTTGCGGATCGACCCCCATTGAAATTTAAAAAAAATATAAAATCATTTTTTTGTATCATAGATAGCAATTTTCCGTTGAGACCCCCAAGACTACTAAAACACGCGTATTCCAGCGTCCGATCGGACCCGCCAACCCCCCCCCCCCCCCCCCCCCCTTTTAAAAATTTCTGACTACGCCCCTGTGTGGGAATTCAAATTTGGAGATTTAATATTTTAGAAATCAATGTTCAATCCCGACTGACAATTTCAATTACATTCGATTATTTTTTAACATTTATGATTGTGCTCTTTGTTAACCTGCAAATGAGTTGAGCTACTTTCTGACTACGCCCCTGTGTGGGAATTCAAATTTGGAGATTTAATATTTTAGAAATCAATGTTCAACCCCGACTGACAATTTCAATTACATTCGATTATTTTTTAACATTTATGATTGTGCTCTTTGTTAACCTGCAAATGAGTTGAGCTACTTCGTAGCCCGAATTTACATATATATATATAACAAAATTCGAGATTCAAAAATGGCAGACACAAATATGGAATAGATTTTTGAATTGAGAAGTCAATCATAGAACAGATTTTAGTTGCTCTGTTTTCATTTTCACCTCGCCGTGTAATTGAGCCGTGCCCGTATTATCTTTTTTAGTCGATAAATAAGAAAATATATCTTAATTAGTCTACGACCGTATTTAAACGAGCTGACGGCACAAGTCCCACTGTGGGTATACAAGCAAGTCAAGCTTCCAGTGACTTCAACCACCCCTCTGTCCGACGAAATTTTATCTACTTCCTAATTTTACGGTTCAGCCTTCTAGTGACTTCAACCTCCCCACCTTCCATCGAAATCACCCACCTCTCCCTTTTCAGTCTTTTGGTGACCTTTAACTATACCCCACCTTCCGTCGGGACAAATTTCATTTCTTGCGCTTCTAAACACGTCGTTTATATAAATGAATTGAATGGGCATTTGAAGATTGTTTCAGTTTTTTCTTGAACGATTCGTTCCAGAATATACCGAGTTTTATGGATTTCAGACTACACAAATATTGACATTTGTAGGCTATATGTCCTGATCACCACATTGAAGTTTTATTTTCGTTTGTAGCAAAAATTGATCCATGTTGGGCAGTGCCGTTTTCTAAAAAGTGTAAGCCACTGCAAAATCTACTTCCTCTGAAACAAATTACAGAACCTCACTGAAACAATGCATATACGGTTATTTCAATTTATATGTACATGCATAATGCCGTCTCTAGTTGCTCTATCAATTTCGTGACATTGTTAAAAACAATTTATTCCAGAGTTGACTCAGATTGAAATTTCATACAGACCTGTAGGTTGAATAACAATTTTCAAAAATGTTCATGATAATGATATTTCCGTTTTGGTGAAAGAGATAATGATATATACGTTATTCAATGCAGAGTGGAGATCACAAGACGTAATTAATACTATTATTGAATTCAAACGATAAATTTATTTACTCCTCTAAAACAGCTCTAACACTAAACTAATGTATATATATATAATCTAGAAATATTTACGACCGATAAAGAATCCTGTCAACATACTAGTTACGACCAAAGCACCAGTGGCAAGAATCGTTTTTTTGTTACTTGTTTAAAAGTCGGAGACTGCCATATATAGTCCAATAGTTCCCCTTTAACGTTAACGTGTGGAAACGGTTTGTTCGGTATTGGTTTATCCAAAAATTCACAAAGTGGAACCCAACCTTCTTTGCAATTGTAAAGCAGAAGTTTTTCTTTTGGACATTTCTGTAAAAAAAATAATTCTGAGAGCGTGATTTGACAACAACGTATTATAAAGTTAACAAGTTAAGTCCATTGTATATGGCTTATTTTTACATCACATTAATAAAAACTACAAAATGGATTGTAAAAATATAATATTAACAAGAGAGCAACGCTCAAATATATGGACACGTGGACTAGAGCGAAGCAGGGTTTACCTTTGACGTTACCGGTACCGTACCCTCAAAAAGTTCCGGGTTTTCAGTCGCAAGAATTTTCACAGTCAGCCGTCACGCTTGGCGGATTAAAAACCGTGTTCCCATAATTAAAAATTAATACAGCGCAATTTTGGATGAAATATTAGATCTCATAAGATTCATAGAAAATTCAGGAATAAATGAAAGTAATAGCCTTCTGGCAAAAAAATCAATCTTGAACCACTGAAAATTCCAAAGCAATTGGTCCAGTATTCGAGGAGAAAAGCGATTTTTTAATGATAATGACGAAAGAAAATAACAATAACAACAAAATTTTGAAACGATCGTTATGGCCACTAAACGCGTCCAAAAACAAGCATTAACAACAAGTTGATATTTATTGCACCGTGCGCATTGACGTAAGTTTTATCGTCTGCTATACCCATTTATGAAACTCCTTATACAACATAGGAATGTGAACAACCCGTAGCGTGTTAAACATGTTTCAAAAATGTGTACCACGCTTGCCCCATGTAGCATAGATGGTAAATATATATTGTGGGAAAACGGCATATACAGAAAATTTTGGGTATATTCTGCGTTAGACTAGAGTTTTAAGCAAATAGTTATAGAATTCAAATGAGGGAGATTCATACAAATCGAACAAGTATACAAGAAGCGGGACATTTTGGGACGCACTATCCCGCGTTACATATGTCATAGTAGGGGTGAACAGACGCATGTCAAACGGTAATTTCTGAACAATAACTATTATAAGGCGGATATTCAATTTGAGCATCCAAGTCTAGCAAACCAAGTTTAATATTTCTAATTTGACATTCCCTATATTACAAAGGTTCACATGATAAATATAATTGAAACAAAATTTTTAAAAAATGACTTAAAACGAAATCTAATTTCCTAGATATTAAAACTGGCACGTATATATTTGGTATTTTACTACGCACGCATGACTTTTCGTAATAAAGGCTTTACTAACGTGCAGAACGTGTGCGATGTGTCTTCTGTAGGCTTGTTTATGAGGTAAATCCAACGGAATTAAATTTGTCGTTCTCAAGTTATATCTTGGCCCACCCAAACAGAGCAGTCCTATATGAAAATAAAAATATTAATGTTGTTGATTTTTTAAAACAAATAAATTAGACTATTAGACTAACAAATATTTCTTTAAGATCTACCTGAGTCCACCGCAAAAGTAAAAAACTTTCTCCAAGTTGGGGACAGATAATTATAATATTTAAAATCCATCTCAGCACCTTTCTTGCAGTGATTGGACCAACTTTTAAACCAAGCATCATCATTATCTCTGACCATAAGTATAACCTATAATAATTTAACTGAAATATTATATATATATATTGAATATATGAATATTATATCTTATCACCTTTAGGCTACCGAGAATAAATTGGATTAACAAATTTTATGTTAATAAAATTATAATTTGTATTGTAAGTATTCGAATAATAAAAGTCTATTATCCGATAAACATAAGGAAATTATAAAAATAGAGCCGGGATGGTTTTTGTATATTTGCGTGTGTTGCAGTTGAATATGAAAATTATATCGAAATAACATTTTCATTTGTGCGACATATGCCTCCTTAAAAATGCTAAGCGCAAATTTGATATTATTACACACATTGTTTCTGTACAAGCAGTACTATACCCCTCCCTCAATTATATGAATATGCCAAATACGGTTTGATGATATTTGTCAAATCGAGTCGCAGATCAAGTCGTCTGTTATACAATGAGGGAATGAACTATGTAGTAGAATCAGCTACCTGAACCTTTGTATTATACTCACTTTTGTCGAGCTAAAATTCGAGTTTAGATCAACGTTCGAATAAGTACAAATGATGAGTTCAAAATGACAGGGAGTTGCGCGTGAAGGGTTATTAACTTGGAATTTGATCAACTATTTGAAAAGATTTGTGTTCACGCTAATTAGTTATGATACTCGCCTTAGCCTCTGGAAACGCCTCCATCGCTTCTTCCCAAAAGAAATAGAATGGTCCATCAATGGAAACTTCGACGTCTTCGTACATTCTCTGGAAATCTTCCACTGTCCAACCTTCACGTTCAAACCTCTTGTATTCGTTGCCAAAATAATCGAAATTTTCTGGGAAATCGTAGACGTTGTATCCTAATTCTGCCAATGCCGCATGGACGGATTTTGTACCACATTTACTCATTCCAGCACAAATAATTTTCATGTTCTAATTTTAGTGTATTGTCTAATCAAGCCTGCGCAGTATAACAGTACTAAAATGATGCTAGCATAGTATTAGAGATCAACGCTTATTTACATCGTACCAGGATATTAGCCTCGTCGATATTGTTAGGTCTGTTCACAGTAGCGAACCATAAAAATAGCAAACTTTAATCTGCATTATAAAAGGCTAAGAAATTGAAACATAATTCCACTTATTGTTTAGTCCATAGTCTACACTCGACCCTAGAAGAAAAAACGAGACTAAGTTATTGCAAGATAAATAGGGCTGAGCACATGACTCTTTTCGTCCCAGTTAGTTATTGATAAAACAGGTTTACTAGGTATTGGAAAATGCCTAGCCCTAAAAATAAAACAACAGTTCGTGTAGGTTCAAGTCAAACGTTGTAAGTCTGAGATAGCACACAAATCTTTTTCGAAAAATTTTAGGCACCGCACCGCAGTGGAATTATATTCACGGATGATTTGAATCAAACGTCGGTCTAATATATATATTACTGATGACCAGTTACGATACTAAACCTATGTTTATTGTCTGTAAATGTGGTCATCCGGGTCTGGCCGCTGGAAATCTCGCAAAAGAATTCAGTAATCACACAGATAGCTAACTTAACACTCCTACCCGAACAGGATATATATCGGTGGCTGTCCACGCTTCCATTTGCAATGTATACTTTTCCTTCATAGTCCTTTAAAGATCCAATTTTACGCAGTTTGTCCAAACGTCATTCAGTAAACAAAGTCTTATACAAAGTTCAATAGTATACTGATTATACAAGCATGCTAAGAAACCAAATGCGATTTATTTATACGCCTGAGGTCAGTCAGCCATATGAGTGTATTGAGGCAAAGCGAACTACTGCATAATATAAAAGCAAATTGTACTTAAAATTTCCGTCTCCAAGCGAATGAACAATGAAAAGTGATTTTTGGGGGATGCACTTTCACCAAATGACAGTTTTTTATGTTTCTCTACGTTTCGTTATAATGTACAATAGACTTTGGCAATTTAAAATTCAGCCCATACGGTAAGACAAAATGTGATCTAAACAAACAAGTTTAACACATTAGCTCTCATGGAAATGCAGTCTGCAGAGCATGTATTTACAGTTTCAGTAGTTTTGGTCAGATCGTTCAGTTTGTTTGCATAGTTTTCTTCATCTTTCTAATATGTTTCAAAGTTAAATTTCTAGGAATCGCTTGGAAGGCTTGATAATTTTGCGTCAAGGCTTTATCATTTATCTGCACTTTTCGTGTTCTACAAATATCCATGTATTAATTAATTCTTAATTTATTATTCTTGATTAATATTGCACAATATTCTTATTGCACTATGTAACAAACTGGCAGTATTAAAGATAATAGTACAAATATATTCAAAATACAAATTATATACAACCTGGAACAGCACTTTCCATTTTAATATTATTTAACGAACGCCACAGGAAAAAGGATTCCTTCATCCAATTGTCCAGAAAATCAATAAAATTCATTCTTCATCAATTATTGACATCGAACTTTCGTTGAAGTTCTGAATCGTTGAAGTGTGATTGGCTGAGCGGTACTCACACACATAATCATAACATAATTATTGTGATTTGCCATTCAAAATTCAACGTTATTTTAGTGCATTGCTGTTTTTGGCCTGTAAAACCTATTAAATTAGAGCCTGGTTTGAAATAACAGTTCGACAAAAGCAAGGCTAATTTAACCGGGAGTTATTGATAAGAGTTGAATCGCAGTGTTTCTATAAAGAAGTATACCTGCAACCATGCGCCAATCTAACGCTTTCTTTATATACACGACCTCCCCGTCTCACTTCAAAAGTTTGGCAACTGTAAACTGGCTGAGGTTTGATCGTCGCAGGGAAAAATGTTGACAGCACATTCATTTCTGAAAATATATCAAATTGAATTAGCATTGACATCTGTATTTGGTCCTAAATATAATAAACTACATATTTTCATTATGAAGTAGATTTGTACCAACCATTCCGTTCTATAAGGAGTAAATCCATTGTATACATCAGTGGTCGGCAACCTTTTTCAAGTGACGGACCGGTAAAGCTTGACCAAACTTTTGGCGGACCACCTTTATACTAACGAACTAAGCCTATGCAATAAATTATACGCATTAGGAAATTTATGTTGACAATATACTAAAAATGACGGTGATACTTTTTAATGTGATGTCTGTATTTGTTTGATGGCCATTAACTGTTCCCATATTCGAGATATGGTCGACATTGACACACGTAACGTGTTTCTTACTTCCAGCCTATTTTGTTTTTGTAGTTATCAATATTGAAAACCAGGCCTCACATTAAGATTTCGGGAAAGTTAACAATGTTTTTGTTGGGGAGATCTTAGTCGGGCATTCTTATACGGGCGTAGAGAAAACAATTGACCCAGCATTATTGCGACATACTGACATGGCAATTGTTTATGAAATCAGACATGTTGCTCAGTAGTGTTATGCAGTGGTCGGCAAACTTAATATACTTGCGAGCCAAATATAAACATTTCTGGTAGCGCGCGGGCCGCAATATTTCCGCCTTCGAACAATCGCTACCATAATTAAACTTCAAATTATGGCGCATCCGCATTGCTACCCTTCTATTGCTGTGTTGAAACTCTGTCCCAATAAGATGTATATGTGGCGTTTTTTTATTATCCAATAATACATTGTTTTTATATACTTATTATCAATGTGAAAGATGATGTTTTTATGGCAACTCGTCGTCCAAATGATGATCTGACAAGCGAGTTCGAAATTTAATCTAAGTGTAATGCATTTTAGATAAAGCTGCTCAAGGCCATATGTTCCTCCGAACGTGCACATTACACGTTTTGCACTGTCGCACAGATGATCTGTGGCGCAGTCCCGGGTGTCGGGGTCGAATTTTCGACGACTCGTTTCGTAACGAGTTTAACATTGAAACCCTTAACAACTGCGATGCTGACTGGGCATATCGAGCAAACTGGTTTTAGAATGCGCAAGTAAAAAAAAAAAAAAATTTCGGTTCAAGCACTTTGGAATGGTCGACCCGCGTCGCTCCGTTTTCCAGACATTTTCAAATTTTAAAAATCAAAACTAACTCGAACGATATAGAACCGACGCTACTTGTTACATGAGAAGCGCCGTACAGCAGCACTTGTCAACGCATAAATCCGTGTAGAGACAATATTAAATTTGGGATTAATTTTTGTTTTATTTATCAAATGTCGGGTCGTTCAAGGGCCGCAACAAATTAGCTCGCGGGCCGCATTTTTTCCGACCCTAGGTGTTGTGTTTGTCTGGTTTACTGTTGGGTGCTGTTTTTTAGTCGTAGGGTTTGTGGTGAGATTGTGAAGGTTTTATTACGGCCTTGTCCGTTTTTGTGTCACCTCTCTGCGGACCGGCAGTAATCTTTCCGCGGACAGGCGATGGGCCGCGGCCCGGTGGTTGCCTACCACTGGTATACATCATATCGATTTTCTGTAGCTTTACATTGCTCGTATTTTAGCAAAGTCAGAACTGTTAAAAATGGAAAACAAGAATTAATAAAATTTGAAACTGATATATTATACCACGTCTCATAGCAGGGATATAATTAACGTACAGCTGTTTTTTTTTTTGTTGCATTGAAATTTGTATTAAAACGAAATATTGTGGTGGATTTAAAAAACATTTTGCTATTTTATCATATAAATTTGGTTTTATTTCAGTTTCAGTTCCTGACTACCAACATTTTAAGATATAAAAAGAAACTGTAAATATATAAGTCTCACTCATGTTCAAACGAAAATAAAAATTTGTACATCGATTGCAGTAAGATAAACTTCTGAATAATCGTCTTGACCTGCCAAAAATACATATTTTTTAAAAATAATAAACTACATCCCACATATTGTATGATCAGAATTTCATTTTACTATCTGTATCGAGCTCTTTTTGGGGACAGAGATGCCAACGTTGATAATATAATGCCAAGAGACAAAAATTTATTCTTACTGCCATTTCCGTCTAGTATTGAATTTGATTTGGTTTCTTGCTTTTATTGCAAACAGTCTCCACAATGACAAAATTTATAATTGAAAAGCAGCTCCATTTTTCGGCTATATACACCACAATTTGACGGGAAATATTGTATTGAAATTACCGTGATAATGCTTCCCTATACCCACGAAATACTGATATCAGGACAACTTTCCTTTTTCTAGATGTCGTAAGAAATTGCTTTATTATTACCAGACTTGTGTCACAAAATTATTTGTGTATAATGATGGGCTACCTAAGTATCAACATGTTGGCAATGCACAAATACAGAGCATAAAGGCAAAATTATCGGTTATTTTCGTATGATGACGGCATGGACACAAACGAGTACGGAACATCAGCAATATCAAAGCTACACGATAGAAGCTTATTTTGTGTCCAATAGTCGTACTAATTATTACGCGTATTTTTATATATAAACGATGTTTGGTGCTGCAACTCTATATTTTTCCGACTTTTCATGATTTTTAGAAACTCTTCAGTAGTTGTAATTTATTTGATTTGATCATATTGGAGGTCTTTATTCTGGTTTTGACACTCGCTACTTGTTGTAGAGTTTAAACAGAATATTGTACTTTCAAAAAGTCCGGCGGTGGATTTTCAAATATTGCTGCCAATATCGTCATAAATTACTATACTTATATATATATCAACTGAATTTTTTAATACATATGATAAGTCTTTACCGGATAAATTGTCAGGGAAATAGTTAGTGTCAAACATAGGAATGATGGTATTAACTGAATCCAATGATGACTAATGTAGAAATGACTATTCACGGTGCATCTCATAATCACATCATTAACTTGCGGTTGGTATTGGAGGAAAATATTCGAAGTCTAAAAACAAACAGTATGTGTAGCTGGCACATTTTTAAATCTAAAATAAATTCGGGACACGTTCTAATTCAATTAATTTTAACTAAAAATCACCAGAACACTGATTAATCAATGGTGCATGTAACAGACATATGTTTAACAAATTGTTTTAAAAAACAAAAAAACAAACTTTTACAGGATCGTAGTGCTGTTAG